AGAATTTATTACTTACAGTTCCCAAGAGGAGGGGGTACAGCGGTGCCACACAGGGCCACACGAAGAAGTACCAGGTTTGGTCCGAATGCAGAAGCAGGAGCAAGGGGGACACACGGGCCACAGCCTTTACTGCGTTTTCTGCAGGATAGGCAAGGTTAGGGTTGGCTGGTTTGAATAATCCCAGCAGGCTCTGGGACTCGGGGGCTGTCCTTAGGTGTCTGGGACCTGGCCCTGGGGTGACTCAGGGCAGGGGAAACATTGACTTGGTGTGTGAGAGTTAGAGAAGAAACTGGTTCAGAATGTGGGCGCTGGATCACAAGGGGATGAAAAGAACTTTGGCCATTGGTTTGGTTTTGTGATTAATTGATGTCAATTAGACAAATACAGAATCTAAAACAGTTTGCCTATGATGTAAACATGATGGCTGGACCAGTCAGCCTGGACCACGAGGCGATCCGTGATAGGATGGGGGTGCAGACAGAAAGGAGCCTGGGTCTCTTGTGACGGCAGAGCTGCTCACCTGCCCTGAACCATCTACCTCCACGTTCACATTACATGAGAGAGAAATTAAATTTCTAAGCCACAGTAGTTGTGTGTCTGTTATGAGTAGCCAAAAATTATCCTAACACACAGATGTATCTAACTCAAATAGGGTAAATCAGAGAAGCCTTGCCTGAAGAGGTGACGTCAACGTTGAGACCTTGGCAGACATACCCCAGCTGTGGGGAAGAGTTCCAGTTGGAAGGACCAGCATGAGCAAAGAGGCATGTGTGGCAGCCGCCTGGGGGTGTGGAGGGTCGGGGAGAGGAAGGGTGCGGATGAGCCATGAAGCCAGGGATTGCGTCTTATGCGCTCTTCCTTACAACCCTCAGTCCAGAACCTGACCAAACCCCAAATCTGTGCTTTAATAAATCTCTGATTAATTGCTTGGGTCTCTCAGAGCATATCAATCATGATTTTTGACTTCCACCTTGGCTGCAATTCAGGGCTGGAGCCAGTTCCATGTTCTGACCTTCACAGTCTTGAACCCCCTCCTGGGACAAGGTCCAGATTCTTTAATGAATCATCTGGCATACTACTTATTTTCTTCCACACACTCCTATAAAAATGGCATTTATCACAGCCTCCATGAAGCATTTTTTTTGTTATCTGACAAAAACAAGAGACAGCTCTCCCTTGTTTAGTTGTGTGTTTGTCTATTTAGTTTTGTGTTTAATTTCTAAGAGAGATAGCAGGCCTATCTCCAGGGGCAGCTTCATGGGCATGTGACGTGGGCACAAGGTCCCTCACTCAGACAGGCCATCTTGACATTCTTAATGTCAACTGAAGGTCCTTGATGTCAATTCAACACCAACGGCAATCCCCAATTTAGAGTAGTGATGAAGGAAACTTTATCCAGTGTAAACCGCTCAACTGTGATAAAGCATCATGGCTGTTAGCTCTGCTCTGCACTGGTCTGCTCTGGCCTACTCGGCCCTGTGCTGGTCTGCTCTGCTCTAGTAAGACATTTTCAGTGTTTCAGCTCCAGCTGGGGAAACTCAGTCATGGGTTGAAAAAAAAAGCGAGCGCCTAGAGCCAGGGGGTAGAGAAATAGGAGGGGGGATGGTTTTGACTTATACAGAAGTACCCAATCCTGGGCCCTGATTGGTTCATCCCCATGCAAATGACAACTCCAAAACCCTGAAGTTTGATTGGTCCAAAAGGCACTGTCCTAATTGGTCAGAATGAAGCTGCTCTGATTGGTCAGTGAAGAAGCAGATGGGGATACAGCTACACAGCTTCAATTGGATGGGGAAAGCCTTAGTCTAATTGGTTGAAATAGGATTCCAGGAACTCCTTTATAAAGGCTGGTTCAGATGGCAGAAACATACATAATACAGGCAGGCAGTTCAATGCAGAGAGAGGTAATTCAGTGTAGACTTCTCCTTGATATGTAGTTTGTGTGAGAGGCCTTTTGCAGAAATGGCTGTTAGACTCTGTTTTCTAAATTTGAGCCCACTAAGGAGATGCCTACTAAGAAGGGTCTCCTTCTTTCTCAGGGTCCACAACAAGAGGGCCACACATTTCCATTTTGAACTGGACTCCACAAATTATGTAGCAAGTCCTGCCTATCTCATTTGTATATACCTTAAGCTTGTGACATTAATTTATCATCGAGTCATGTGAGTTTGACATTTATAAAACCCTCAGTAGTTCATAAGTTTCCTATCTTTCTCAGGAATATTTCAAAGCTCTCAGTGCAGAATGGCATAAAAAGCTTTTTATCTTCTGTTACCTCCTGCACCTACCTTGACATCCCTAAACTTTCTTAGACCCATCTCTCTCTACTCTGCCCCATTTCCCTTTACATGTTAACTGTCAGCTATTGTTCTACTTGCTATCTCACCAACTGTAGACCCTACTCCATTCTGCCTGGGGTGCTCTTCTGTCTCTTTCCTTGGCCAACTCCAGCTTATCCTATAGGTCTGAACTTAGATGTCACCACCTCTGGGAAGCCCTCCCTGCTCTTCCCAAAGCTGAGATATGAAGCTCTCACAGAACCTGACAAGTGCTAATACACAGCAGCACTTGTCTTGCAATTATGTTATTTTATGTTTATTTCTCAGTTTCCCTCGGTACATTGTGAACTCCTTATAGTAGAGACATCCTCATATTCTCTGAGGTGGCATCCATGCTCAGCTCCAAGGAAACAATAAGTTTCCTTTCACCAAATGCATTAATGGATGAACCACAAGTCCCTGGCTTATTTGGAGGATGCGTGAGGAGACCTATAGGGTTTTCTTTTGTCTTTACTAGGAGAGCCTTTGTGAGCGATCTGAGGTCTCTCCTGTGACAGAGCCTTACCCAGGAGGCTTAAGTGGGATTTCCCTTACCCCAGACTGGGTGCCTCTATGCAATTCCTGGAGCAAGTGTTTCTGGAAAAGGAGGAAGTGAGGCCCCAAAAGCTGAGGCTTCTAGGGATGAAACAGGGTGACTTGTTTAAATAACTGTACTACTGCAATCAGTATACCAGTTAAATGTGGCGCTGTTGGAAAATGAGTGACTCAGCTGTCACTGAGTTCCTTGGGAAGCCTTTGTTCTTTGTTGTTTTGAGGCCAATCCCCACAACTCCTTGCATAAAATAAAGCAACAACTAAGACACAGACATTAAGTTTTATTTAATAAAGCTCACTTGTGGATGTATTGTTTCTCTCTCCCTACCTCCTTTCTCCAGCCAGGATTCCTCTAGTCTGTCTCTCCTCTTATTAGAGCAATTTGGCATCTTTCTGCAAATTCAGATCTTGAATAGTAAGCTCTTTGAAATATAAAACTTCCTGAATCAATGAGTCATCTGCCTAAATGAATCTGAAATTCAGGGGGTGAGGGAGAAGTGGGAACTTGTTGGAAGTTTGAATTTGGAAAGTAATAGCACTCTCCATCCTGATTCTCAATTTCCATTCTTTCTCAGAGCATTAATGCTTGTCCTATACCTGGTTAAAGTGGTTATGGACATAATTAAATATTAAATGGAAGATTCCAGAGAGAAAGCTATCTCTACTGTGATGGAAACAGAACTTGGTAGTGAGGAAAACTTTCTTGTTTGGTCTTTCTGGCTAACTCCCACAACAATTTTGCTTATTATTTCTGATTATGAGCCTGCACCTGGTATCTTTTAGAATGATTCTTGGGTCCCTGTGGATCCAGATTTAAGCTATACAGTAAGAATATGACAGATTTACAGCCTTATAACACTAACCTGTTCTGCATTTAAACATTCCTCTTCCTTCCTATAGAGACTGTCTTTAAGAAATTTAAATCCAACTAGTTTTTCCAAGTCTGAAATGAAACTTGACACATGCTAATAATGTAACTTGCCTGAGATGTGTGGCTTAACCAGTGATTAAAAGTGTTGAAGAACTCAAGCATCTGGAAGCTTTGCTAGAAAGAAATGATAAAGATTTATTCAAAGGGTCTTGGGGTTTGCAAACTGGAAACCAATTAAGCAACAGTGAATGATCCAAAGAAGAAAGACAACCGGGGAGTTTTTCTAGTAAAAAAATACATTCTTCAGAAGAATCAGTTCCGCATTCTTAGCCTCTAGACAGGTCTGAGATGGTAATCCTCTAGATGACTGGTGGTCTGGATACCTGGACATTCTTTAGTCCTTCAGGAGGTAATCAGAGGGTTATCTGGAGGTTTGATGTTTATTTGTATCAGGCAATGAAGCAGTACGGGAAAGTTTAAAAGTTTAAGTTCTTAGGACAGTTGAAACAAGAATACAATCATTTCCTCATACCTCACCTTACTATAGTGACTTCATTTTTATTTCTTCACCTTGTCCCTCAGAGGCTAAGGTAGGGCAAGTGAACTTCCAGACAAAACACAGATAGGAGGAAATAACTCCAAATTGGAGCCCTATCTTTCAACATCTCTTAAAGCTCTCTGTTGTGCCTTGCAGAAACCTCGTCGCAATAATTGGCTTGATGACTGTTTCTTTACAGCTGCAGTCCCGATTAAAAATGCTACCTAAAGCACAGTGAGGATGTCCTTGACACACACTCTATTTTCTGGGAAGAGATTTACTACCACAGTAATTGAGCTGGGAAGCACAGATAAATTGCTCTTGGCGGCTTCCACAGCGGTTCAAAGTACTGCAGTTGACCGGAATCACACCCTGCAGTTTTCCCTCCTCCAGCGTGCAAGATGCCAACACCGCACCGACTTTATTATAATCTTCAAGATAGGTGTGGAAGGCAAAGGAACCATCACCCAGCTGGACTGTAAAATAATCTTAACCCCGTGATATAGTTACAGGAATGACCCCAATGAGAGAGGGAAGGCCCGAACTCCACTGCAGGCCGACCCTGGGACCCGTCAGTGGTGCAATAGGATTTATTTTGCACTGGGCTGGCTGCGCCTGCAGCCAGCTGGAAACCTCGGTGACGTCACGGGCCGGGCGCGCAGGTCACGTGGCCCGGGCGCCCCGCCCCCTCCTGCTCCTCCTCCTCTCACTGCTTTCGGAGCGCAGGGTCCGACCACAGTCGCTGCTTGGAGCTTTCGGTGAAGACGTGAAGCGAAGGCCGGAGGGCGAGCAGGCGAATCGGCAGTGAGCGGGGCCGGAGCGGAAGCGGCCGAGGAGCCAAAAGCAGCCGCGCGGCGGTCGGCAGTGACGCGGCCGAGGTTCCTGAAAAGTTGGGCGCGGGCTCGCGCCACTGCGCCCGCGGTCCGAGCGATGAAGATGGTCGCTCCCTGGACGCGGTTCTACTCCAACAGCTGCTGCCTGTGCTGCCATGTCCGCACTGGTACCATCCTGCTCGGCGTCTGGTACCTGGTGAGCGCAGTGGGCCGTGGTGACGCGCCGGGGGCGCACCTGCCCGGGAGGAGGCGCCAGCGTCCGGACCCCCCCCCCCCCGCCCCGCCGGCCAACCCGGGACCCCGGCCTTCACCTCCGCTACGCTTTTCAGGGCCGCAAGTTGGTTCCTGATTCGGCTTTGGGTTGGGTGACGCCGGCGCTAATCCGCCTAAAGTTATATTATTAGAAACTTAATTCTCTGGGTGAACTGGTCCGCGATCGTCCCAGATCGTTCAGCCTGTGGCGGGGGGGGTTCCAGTCGGGGCCTGGAGTTGGGGGCATTTTGGGGGTGCCGGCTGGGCCGGGGGCGCGCCCGAAAGCCCGTGGCACAGAGCCGGCTGCGGCCGCGGTTTCTGGTGAAAGTACAGTTGGTCAGTTGGTGGCCGGAGAACTCGGATCTTAGCTGAGGAGCACGTGTTTTCCTTTCCTTTCTTTCTTCCTAACACTTGGTGGGCTTTTGTGTTTGGAGGGGTGCCGACAGCGTTGTGAGGTGACCGGGCAAGTTTGTTACCCTGCGTTCAGGGTTGCACACCCTGCGCGCCCACCATCGCTGCCCGCATCTGCCTCGGGCTTGCTGCCCAGTCTGCTGCGCACGTTCGGGTCCGGAGCTGAAATGGTTGAAGATTCTGGTCATACTCTGTGAATGATTCCCCCCACACTTTTGTTTTAAAGCTATTATTCTAGGAAGGGACTTACTAGTGATTTATTGCTTTCCAATCAACCTGGGGAAGCCATTTTACACCCACTTTGCTGGTTATTATTGGCAGGTGATCCCTGTACCTTTCTTAGCAGACTGCAGGCAAATGTGACTTTTTTTTTTTAAAGATTGGAACTTTTAAATATCTTATTTGTATGGGAGCAGTGGGTTATCAGGGGCAGTGAAGAAACCTGATGGCGCCCTGCCCTGTTCCTGTTCCAGGTTGTTTGTGGCATCCCTAGACCACACCAGCGTTGAGTAGGTAGAGGGTTACGCCTGAGCCACTTTCAGTGACTACCACCGCATCAGGAGGAAATACCTTGAAAATGGTAGTAAAATAGCACATAGAACTTTTTTAGTGAGAATACAGTTTTCTTAATTATCAGAGTTTTTTTTTTGTTGAGTCATACTCAATTTTTTGATATAATGTGGACATCATGTTGAATTGTGTAGTTGTGACATTTTAAGCAAAACATTTTCCCGCCAGGCAGATGGTGTTGTCTGTACTATTTATGGTTTCAGCTCTCCTTTAGTCAGTGCCTATCACGGGACACACAAAGAAATTTTTGGTCTTGAAAGATTCTTGTTCAGTGTGATTGCAGATAGAACCACAGCATTTTCGCTCAATCCTAACTTTGCTAAAACATCCAGAAATCCTTTACAGAAATGTAAAATTACTGTATAGCAAAAGGATACTAGGTGACTCAGAATATTTTGTACTTTTATTGATGATAAGAAGGTTATTTTATACAAATGACTTGTATCCTCCTTGGAAACATTCAAATCTTCAGACTTGCAAGAACATCAGTGAATGTAATTTGTAAAATCCAGGGCACTGCATTAGGCAAATGTACTGCTTGATCCATAGGAAAGATAAATCTGCTTGAGCCCTATTGTTGGCTGAAAGCCAACCAAGTAGTATTCTTGGGATAAAAGGAGAATACTCTGCATGCTTTTTCTACGTTGAAGCATGCTCTTTGTGGAAAGTAGTTATTGGGGTACATGTTTTAGCATTTGGAAATATGTGCCCTTTTGAAAGATAATTAGAAAACTTTCCAGCAGATGTAAGAATACCACTTCAGGTAAAACTAATTAATAGGAAATCTGGCTTAAGTACTGATAATCTTTATTGAAAGTCTTTTTCATTTCATAAAACAATTTAGACTTTTTTTTTTATTAACAGTGAGTTTCCCTCATATCTGTAAATGTAATCGGGTATCCAAAACTTTGATTTACATGAATAGTTTTAAGCAGGGTCACCGAAGAACAAGGCACCTCTCCTTTCTTCCCCCACCCCTTTCACCTCACCATCTAGATGGAATTCGGGCTGTTACCAGAAAGGGGCAGAGTTTTCAGGAAAAAGAAGTTCCTGGGTTATGGGTAGAAGTTCGAATAAGAATCCACTCTAAAGGCTCTTCCTTCAACAAATAAATAATTACCAGATAGGTAAAGTGGATCTTTTTATGCAATTTCTAATTGTTTCCTACCACCACCATTTATTAAGGTTCAGTGTGCCAGGTACTATACTAGATGCTTTGTATATGCTTAATTTTTACATAATCCTGGTGAGGTGATGGTCTTATTCCTGTTTTATAGATGAGAAAAACGAGGCTAAGAGAACTTAGGTGATTTACATAAGGTCCCATTGTTGGTTTGTAGTCTGAGTGATGTTTTAGTCCATCCTATTTCTACTGTTTTAGTTTTTAAAAGTCATGTGAGTGTCTTTTGTTTTTGCTTTGGAATAATAAAGGTTTTTTTCAGTCCAGTAACAAAACATACTGATTTCAGATATTTATATTAGAGACTCTTTTTGTTTGTCTTTGTTTTGCTTTTTTCCCTCTCTTTTATTGAGGCATAATTTACACATGGTGAAATTCACAGATATTAAGTGTACAGTTCACCGACTTGACAAATGCATATGCCTGTGTAACCCACATCCCTAGAGAACATCTCAAAACCCCAGAAAATTCCCTTTGTCTCTTCTCATTTAGTCCTCGTCGTATGCATCTCCCCTCTCCCCTCGCCCCTGCACAGGCAAGTTTTACTTATTCATGTTAAGTGAAATTATACTGTATATACTCTTTTGTACCTAGTTTCTTTTACTTAGCATAATCATTTATGTTGTTGGAGTATAATAGTAGCTGCTTCATATTATTTTATTGCACAAATAAACAATAATTTGTTTATTCATTTGCCTGATGATGGACATTTAGATTGTTTTCAGTTTGGGGTTATTATGGATAAAGCTGCTCTGAATGTAATTGCACAAGAATATTTGTGGACATAAATGTTTTTATTTCTCTTGAGTAAATACCTAGGAGTGGAATAACTGGTCATTGGGTAGATAAATGTTTAACTTTATAAGAAACTGCCAACCAGTTTTCCAAAGCAGTTCTGCCATTTTATACTCCAACCAGCAATGTATGAAGTTCCGGTTGCTCTACATCCTTGTCAACATTTGGTGGTGTCAGTCTTTTTAATTTTAACTATTTTGGGGGTGTATAGTGGTAGCTCATGGTGACTTTAGCTTGTATTTCCTTATGACTAATGATGTGGAAGTTTATCTTTGCTTATTGGCTTATTCTGTGTCTTTTTGTGGGGTACCATTTATTGATTTATAAGAATTCTTTATGTATTTTGGATATCAGTCTGTTGCAGGAGATAGCATAGGAAGAAACCTAAGACTGCTCTGCTGTTGTTGGCCAGCAACTGCAGTGCCCTTCCTGGTTGTAAAGCAACACCTTTTAACACTTAGGTAGCAGCTAGGAATGAGCGGCCAGAAGGGAAATAAAGGCAGGGCCCTCACCATTACAATCTAACAAAGAACTTAATACAGGAGGCTAAAAGCAAAAGCTCACACATTGACCCAGTAATCCTGAGCCTGGTCAGATAAGGCAGCCAGGCAACCTAGAACAAGTAAACTATAATAGTGTAGGAGGAAGGCAGCCCTTGAAAGTCTGTGTATCATCTCTGCTCGCTGGGAAAAGGAAAACCTTGAGACTGTGTATCCCTCCCAAGGCCGAGAGGGAGAAGGGGAAGGGGTCCACAGCGCCCAAAGAAAAAATCCATAACACAGCTTTGATTAACTGCCTGCCTTCCGTCACATCTGCAAAATGAACTCATAGAGCCTGGAGTAAGATAGTGATTTGGGCTATCAGACCCCCACCCCTACCTGTATTTAGGTAGTCACGTCTCTCCCCCAGAAAGCTCGCCCCTCCTTTACCTGCCAATCAAGACGGAACTTCTTCACTCCCACCCCACCAACCATATTAGTCCTCAGAACAAAGGACTCTCTCTCTCTCTTGTCTCTTACCTCTCTTGCCACATTGGGGGGGGGGGGTGCCCTGGCCACTTGGCCTCTGGCCACCTGGGTGCTAGCCACCCGGGCCTTTGGCTACCCTTGCTTTTGCTCTCCCGTTCACTAATAAACTTTGCCTATAGGCTAATAGGCTTGCTGACCTATAATTCTTTACTTAATTCTTGACGAGAAGAACCAGGGTTTCTCCAGTAATAAGTCTTTTGTTAGATGTATATTTGTGAACATTCTCTCCCAGTGTGGTTTGCTTACTCATTTTGTTAGTGGTACTGTTCATATAATTTCCTGGGGCTGAGAGACCAGAGACAGAGGCGGCTGGCTGACAACTCCAGACAATGTTAAGAGTTGTTATTTAAAGGAACTTTCATACCAGGCATCTTGGGCAGCAGCAAGACAACATGGGCATTTTCCATATTGTGTGGCAGTCGCAGAAGAATTATATATAGAACAGAGCAGGATAGATTGAGGTACGGGGGTGTCAACTGCCCCAGGTAAGAGGAAAATGCATCACATATAGGGCAGAGCAAGGGCCTATTTTAGGAACCAGTATGCCTGGGGCATAGAAGAGGGGTCTATCAGACAATGTCTGAGGGGATATGCAGGAAGCAGTCTCTGTCTGGCCCAGATCTAGCAGGATCTAACTTGAGGGTTCCTCATGGAACAGTGTCTCCTCCACGGATGTATTCATGAATAGGAGTTTTTTATTTTGATTGTTTGGATGTCAATTTTTTCCTTTTATGGTTTGTACTTTCTGTGTTCTAAGACATTTCTCGTACCCCAAATTTGTAAAAATATTCTCTTAAAATTTTCTTCAGCAGCTTTATGGCTTTAGCTTTTATATTTACATCTGTGACCCATCTCAAATTAATTTTTGTATTATGATACGAGGTTGAGCTTTGTATTTGTTTATTTAAAAAGGTAGTTTAATCACTTAACCTTTAAAAAGTTAAATTATTACATAACCCT